AGTGATTGAATTTTCATATATCTTTATTTCTTATTTTATACATAACTAGCTTTTGCTCGCGACTCCATTCGATTCATTCAAAAAAATCACAAAAAACGGAAATAAGTAGCCTTTGTGTTCTTTTAGACTATCCTCGACATTCATACCAAATTTCATCGAGATCCGTTCAGCCGTTTAGGCTACAAACTCTAACAAACATCCATCCATCAAAATCACACATTTATAATATTAGTAAGATATATTTTACATAATTTGTATTAAAAATTAAAATAAAACATATATAAAAAATAGAGCACCACCGGTTGCGGAATTCCATGACTCAAGCAACCGGTGGTGAGGGCTGCAGAAGGGTCCTCCTCACGATGCGTGCGGTTTCTAAAATAACCTTTTGAATCGGGCCCTAAATCCAACTGTCTAGCGACAGCTTCTCGAGATGTAGGTCGAAGCTGTTCGCTATTAGCCCGTGCACCGAAATGACTATCGGAATAATGGTAATCGATTTCATAAGCCACATGGCGGTAACCTCGTGAGCTAGATATTTTAATAGTTTTTCATTTTCGGCTTTCACGAGATACTCGTCGTGTGGGATAGTAATATCGACTAACCTTACACAACTCTCAAACCGATCTATTATTACTTTATAAAGCCTATTGGCAACAAAAGTTCTATCCGTAATAATAGATCGATCGCAATAATTGACCATTAATAAGTAAAAAATTCCTAACATAAGTATGATACTTGATGTATTTATAAGAACTAACGTATTCTGTGTTTTTAAAACATTTTCATTGACATTTGTAGTTGTAGCACTCTACAATAACTGCTTTTTGTTCCATTTTTGGATAAATCAAATATTTACTGAAACATACTTAAGTTAGTATGTTTTTTCAATTTCCATTTTCCTGTTTCGACAATTACAATTACAATTTTGCAAGGATTGTAATGAAGAAAAAAATATTTATTACAAAAGAACACTAATTTAGTTCAAAATATGTTCAAATAAAAACATATAGTTTAATATATTAAACTCTATTCACATATTATGTATTCGTTTTATCTCTCGTGGTTTTCTACATTTTTTCCCTTATCTTTTTCTATAGTAAAAAAGCGAAGGTGTCAGTGGCCGGTATGCCGCCATTTTGGCAGAATGTAAACTTCTCGTTTACTAATTAGATTTATTACGACACGAGCTGTTCCCGTGCGTCTTCGTTCGCATGAAATTATAAAAACTTTATTTTATTGTTTACATTTGTGACATTTCCAATTTAAATTTCCAAACTTGAAATGTACAAATGACAACGAAGGCCTTCGTCATTGGATACAAATTACCGTTGCCATAGCAACATTACTTCCTTGATCTTGTAAACTTGTAGTCTCTATCCCTTTCGCGCATGACAATTTTTTTTCAAATGTTTTATTGCCCAATTTTAAACTATATTTTCACGTTATTAATAGCATGAAGGTATAATATATAGCGTAAGTGTAGGGCTTTTTATTAAAAAGAAAGAATTATTAAAGTTCTGTGACTCCGTCATTGTGTATCTGTTTGTCACTCACGTTGTGGAAGTATCCAGTGAAGACCATCTCCTGTAGAGGGCGCACGTACTCCTTGAGGATGTGCAGCCACTGGCGCTCCAGCCCGACCTGGTTCATGTGGATGTCGCGCGTCGGCACCGCCTCGTAACCACCTTCCAGACGCTTGTCCTGGGACAAGCATTACCCAGTTATATCTAACTTTTTAACCCGGCTTGCATTCAAATTATTTAATATTGGGTTCTAATATTATATCCGACATTACCAGTACCGAACGTTAGGAAATTAACTGGGTTTTTAACCTTTTTTGTTACTTAGTTCGTTAACATGTAATTCAATCTAATTAACCATATGCGTAATTGTAAATAATATGTTTCACTTGTGTAAAATGAGTACCTTATTTTGTCCAATAAATAGTGTTAATAATTTATTGTTGTTTCTATTTAAAAACTCACATTGTTAGATCCATCGCTCCACTGGCCGTAGCCCTCCATGATATCGATCCATTCCTTGCAGAAGCGCGGCGACATCAGCGGGAACCAGTACACGTCGGGGCAAGGCTGGTCATGTTACAAATATAAACGTACATATTATACAACTGTCGCGCCGGACGAGAAAACGAGACTTTCGAGTCTATCTGGTTACCATTTTGGGCTTCTGTCCCTCGAGATAGTTGGTGACGTACTCCTCGTGCAGATAGCGGCGCTCCCACTCGTGCTTGTTTTCCAGCAGCTGGTACATGTCGGGGTGTGTGCGGCTCGTGTCGTACGTCTCGGGGTTCACCAGATGGCCGTGCTCCTCCTCGTTGCTCACGTACATCATCACACCCTGAACAAAGAGGGAAAGGTTGAAAGGAAGCGGATGTCTGTGTGTTTATTTGTTCCGGTTTCGGTGACCATCCTTATACTCAATTCAAATCTGTACTTACAATGTTCCTCAAGCTGGTACAGAATGCCATGTCGGGGTCGAGGTCGTCCTTGGCGTATGTGACCTGCAGCCCCTTGGGTGTACGCAACACCTCCATCTTCACCAGGTAGCAGTTGGTGACGAACGGTACATTCCATATGCCCCTGCAGAATGTGAACACACTTTATTGTATCTGTTTTGACAAAAGTAAAAATATACGTGTAAGTGCCACTGCTTTGGCGGGGGAGTCCATTCTATTCCAAGAATATCTATTCCATATTTAAGTTTATTGATCCAATGCTTAATTAATACAATAGTTATATAGGAGTCTTTGATAAATAACTTTACGCCGCCCACCTGAACTACTAAACATTGCGTATGACATCCCTAACAAAGTAGCTGATAAATAATTATAGCTTAATTGAAAATATTCAACGATTTCTTTCGAAAGCAACCCGACATTTGGTGTGGGAATGTTCCCACGTGTTATATTCTAGAAGAATGACGGCGAACCGCTATCAAGTACGTCTACAAGTGACTGCTCAAATTGACGGCGATCCGAGGCCCCGCCCAAATCGCGAAACAAATTGCGGACAAGGGGGCGACGGAGTCCCTGGCTGTTTCAACATTAATCAATTTAGAGTATTCGAGGCGGGCTCTGCGCACTCTCGTGGCATTTCCATGGACGGCGGCGACTAGAGCGATCGCTGGTGGACGACGACAACCAAATGCTGCGCAGGCGCTTGCTTACACTGTTTGTTATCGCGCTGCTGGCCGGCGCTGTCGAGTCGCGCCGCGGCAGGGCAAGGAGTAGGACAAAATCTAAGGTAATAATCATACACTAAAGTATAAGATTTTTTACCAACTTTCACTCATTGAGTTGTAATCGACAGGTGCAAATCGGGCTGCCCATCACCGGCAAATACAGAGATCCGGAATCTGATCAGTATTACAATAACAATGATGTAAGTACATTTGCATGCGCTGATACTTAATTTTCTGAGGATTGACGAAGTTGTTCCTACTTTTAATTGAAACCACATTATATGATACTTTTTAAAGTAATGATTTTCAAAGGTTTTATTTTGATGTCATTGGAAAACTTGATAAATATTTCAGTAGCTTCACGTCACGTGAGATGTAATTAACATGAGTGTCGGATAGACAATATCAGTAAACAAAAATTGGCTTAAATAACTTTGAATTATGGATTAATAGTTTATTTTTGTAATAGTTGGAGTTAACATAAACATGAAGGTTAAATTCATTTGTTTTTTCAAATTGTCAACACCAAAGGGAAATACATAAAACTCAAAGATGTTTTTAAAAAATAAATTTGATAAATGGCGAAATTGAATAGGAGAATACAGCGATGATTATGACGACTGCAAAGTTTTCAATAGTGTATATGAGGCGAATCTGTAGCGATGGGAATCGAATAATTTTGCAGTTAATTATTTAAAACATGATAGCGCATGTAATCGCGACCGCTCATCAATGTATCATGTTGTTTATTCTAGAGATAAATCTGAAACGTCCGTTGTTAGGATGTACGCAAAGCGGTGGGGTCCGCGCGGGAATTGGCCCATCCGAATAAACGTTTCGCCATAACTATCATGTCAAACTACTTACGTCTAAACGAATCAACTACGCAGTTTGCACAATATTTACATATGAATTGCTCTATTTGTTTTGTACTCTATGGGCGGTTACATTGTTTACATTTTAAAATTGCACTAGTTTTCTTCCTCGACTTTGACCAACGGATTATTTAAATTACATTCACAAGATCTGTTAATGTATACTGTTATTATAAACAGAAAAGATTTGTATTTTTGAATTGAAATAATTTATAAATTACTGGGCCGACTTCAACAAATTTTTCACGTTAATAAGCTACGTTATTAGTAACATGCGCTATGTTTTTATTAACATAGGCTATGAATTAACTTGGTAAACTTTTATTAGCATCAGATGTAAGATTTAGATTCATATGAGAGGGTTTTATAATTATAATTTAGAGTGTTGTATTATAAATATTTGGCGGTATGTCGGTAGGGAGCTAAGATCATCCTGGCGTCACACTTCGACTTGGAGTACGTGTTGGGTCACAAGATTGCTTTCCTCTGCATCGCTAAGGGCTCCCCGCGACCACACATCACCTGGTTCAAGGACGGAGTCGAAATCTTCGCACATCATTACTTACATGTAAGTAAACGATACCAAAACCCTATACTAATATCGGCGAAATACAGAAAGGTTAAAAAAATATGTAGAGGAAGCGGAGTAGAACACTCAAAATTACATTTCAATATAACTAATTGTATTTAAATTAGTTTACTTGTGACACTGTGTAGTACCTTTCAAAGAAGTTACCAGTGAAGAAAATGTTATTCCCTATATCTAGTAGTTAAATGTCTGATATAGATAATAAAAATATATTTTGTATAGATCCACGAGTGGCCGATCGGAGACGACCGAGTGAAATCTAAGATCGAGATCGATCCGGCGACGCAGATGGACGCCGGCGTCTACGAATGTACGGCAGACAATATGTACTCTATCGATCGCCGCTCCTTCAAGACGGACTTCTCTATAGCCTTCGATTGAACAATCGTACATATTCACATATACACATCGATAATAAATGAATATTTTTTGTAATAAATTTAAATCAATCTCTGTTAGTGTTTTCATTGTTGTGATTTTGTATTGAGGGTTTCTTGCAGCGATTTGCTGGATTGAATGACTCGACGTCCGGTTGCTTTACCTCCTGTCCTGAAAAGCGCACTCACTCGATAGAACGGTAGACGATGTCCATGTAGTCCGTGGAGCGCGCGTAGTATCCCTGGGCGTTGATCGCGCCCCAGAAGTTGGACCAGGCCTGTCCGCGGCGCGCGACCATGGGCGCCACCACGTCGTAGCCGGACGACAGCAAGTGGCGCAGCGTGTTCGGCTTCAGGCGAGCCACGCTGTCCACGCACAGCATGTACTCACACATGCTGTTGGTGCATCGCTCCCTATATATATACAACGCTTTATTTAATCATTCATTGGTTTTTGGTTTGATAACTTCATGATATGCGTTTCCCAACTACGTAACTCGAGTTTTACTCCGTTGAAATTTAAATTAACCTAACGTTGATAAATCATTAGATAAAATAAATGGAAGCTTAAGCAAACCAGCGTAAGATATTTTCGATTCGACGAATCGATTCAAAATGTTACTTAAAAGTGTACAAGATAATATTTATGTAATAATGAAGAATGGGTCATATGTATATTTATGAACTGACTTGGCAACATTCCTCGCTTCAGCTTCGCTCATGTAGTCGGTCGGCTTGATCCTCTTGGCTGTGGCGTATTCGTTCGCGTACTTGTCGTAGAACTCTTCGACGAGAGGCTCGTGGTAGGGGATGTTGTTGCGCACGAGGAGATGTATCTTATTCTTGGGGTAGTCCAGCTCCACCACGGAATTTAACAGTTCCTCGAGGAACGGCGTCGCCACCTCCACGAAGACAGCCACCATCACACGCGGCAGGTTATCATTCTAACAACAATCACCGATTGGAATTAGTGGATACATCTCCATTTCGTCCAAAAAATAAAAACAATCAATGTAACATCTTGGACGACCTTTTTTGTGAAAATATTTTTAAAACCCATCCAAAGATATCCAATCTATCTATTATTGTTATAAAAGGAAAATATTAATAAATAAAATTATAAGCTGAAAGATAAAAAGTTTGTGTCGACTTACATCTAATTCAATCCTCTTCTCTTCACAAAGAACGCAACCTTTGGCCTGGGACCAGGCCTTGGCGAGGTAGTTGCCCATAGTGTTAAGCGTCAGTTTCGAAGGGCCGTTGCCGTGCAGCACCAGGGGTCGCTGCTTCGTCGCCACGTTCTCCAAGTACGGCCACTCCTCGGTCGTGTTGCTATGGAGCTGGACGTCCGCTGGAACAAAAACATTCTGATTAACACCTTCTTACAGGGACTTAGGTATATGGCTTTTACTATTGAAACTTACACAAAGCTCCATTGAGGTTCTGGAATATCTCAGACTTGTGATCCAGGTTGATCTTTAGAGAGTCCCTCAGCTCGCTTAGGTAGACCTTAGTGTAGTACAGCTGGTCATCTTCATTGTTCTTTATTTTCTTCGCGTTCAGTATGGTATTTATTTCGGACAGATATCCTGAGAAATGCCATATTATTAATGTTTGAAGAATCAACTAAAGCTTATTAAATATGAGTACAAAATCTAACTCATTTAAATCCACATTCGTTATCGTATGAGCAATATCTGATGTCCTATTTATAACAAGAGTTCCAAACTTCCAAGTTTTATTTTTAAAAGATGTAAGAAAATCAGTTACAAATATTGCAGTGGAAAATGGCTTTTACATTATAAATATCGATCAAATAGTTTTTAAACTATATTATATAATTGTAAGTACCGTAGAGATAAACTACCAACGAATTCGTTATCTCTATTTCCGACTCAGTCGCGTACGAGATCGTTCTGTTACATTTCGTACATGAGTCATGTCATTTAACATTACAAATGTTTAAAATAATACGATACAGAATGTAAATCGAACCAATTCTGGTACCTTAAGTATACAAAGTCAACTGTTCAATTATTGTAAAAACACTCGTAGAATGATGACATTCTTATGGTAATTATAAAAATGACACAGGTGTTTTCTATTAAATATAAACACATAAATGACTTATTAACTAATTTGAAGTACATTTTGAGTTATCAAGCACTTGTACATATAACAAAATGCCAATTTGATTGCATGAGTTATAAAATTGTGATAATAATTTTAGATGTAAAAAATTAACAACATACCAATATGTTAGCCTATAAGTAACCAATCAGACTATACTTATTACATCTTACTTCTTACTTATATTATAAATGCGAAAGTTTAGATGGATGTTTGTTAGAGTTTGTAGCCTAAACGGCTGAACGGATCTTCATGAAATTCAGATGTCAAGGATAGTCTAGAAGAACACATAGGATCACACACGAACGGAGTCGCGGACGAGAACTAGTGTATTGTAAGAAAAAGTTTTATCTTTTACGAAATTGACCGATATCACGTCAGGTTAACTCCCCCGCATCTATTTATTCTTAGCAACGCACATGCTTCTGACTATATAAAATTTATACCAATTAAAAACGCACGCAATTGTCTCAATATATGAGTACAGAGATAGTTTTAACAGCATTCAATTGCATCTATTCATCGTCCAATCAACAGCGATTTAAAGTCCAACCGGTTGTTGACCTCTCCCGAAGGAGGACACAGCTTTCAATGTTTATTGCAACATATTTTATATCAGAATGTTCCAGAAGTAATATTTGGTTCAAAGGTTATTGTGTTGTGATTAAAAGAAAAAAAACGTTTGTTACATCGCATGTAGAGATAAGAAATTGACGCGATGATTATAGACATTGACTGCCGCGGCTTGTGTCCTTGAGTAGTGGCTAAGGGAGACCCTAAGTAACCTTTACGACTCACAACGCAAAAAATAAGTGAGGCTGGTAAAAGTAAACGGCAGGGTGACAGAATTTCAAAGACCTGTCAGTCTAAATACTTAAGCGTTCCTATGTCTGAATATCAATTGGACGTTTGGTCTAGTTCAAAAACACATCAGTTTTAATATTATTTCTATATTTATTGTGAAATTCGATAAAACTCAAGGTCAAAAATCTGTAGGGTCACTGACGTAGTTATCGACAAAATAACATTTTTATAGAAGTAGGTATGACGACATGTGTAATATAATTTTAAACGGTCATACATATTTGTTTATCTCATCATCTCTTAAACGTTGTGTCACTCTGTGCTTACTTGATAAAACAAGTTTATATTTCATTAATTTGCTCGCAAAGAAATATGGAATACTTGATCGAACTGCCAAAGTATAGTGATATGCCGGAATTGCCGATATATACTAGTATAAAAACAACTTTGGGAAATAATGAGACACAGGAGAACAATGTCTTCTTGTAAAGACGTCGTGGATGCCTGCTGTGATACCTTTCTAATATTGTTACTTACCAATAAATCCTCCCGAGTTGAGGTAGGGGTTGGTGACCTCTGTATTGGGGTACATCGCCGCGAGCTTGGAGTCCGGCCAACAGAATGGCTCAGCCGAAAACAGCACGCGAGTCTCCGGCATAGCCTTGAACTTCACCAGGATGTCGCCCAGGGTGCCCAGGAACATCACGTCGTAGCTACTCAAACAAATACATCGTTTAGATATCAATATAGACATTGAAGACTGTTTGCCTTGAATACGCATTTACAGGTTCGCCGGGCTTGAGGTGGCAAGCACTAGGCACTGGCGCTTAGCCTAAACCTCGTTTATAGGTAACTAAGTTCGAGGGCTCCCTCAGGAACCTCGGCACGGGCCGTTACCTCCAGTCTATCTGTGTGTGTGTGTGTGTGGTATAAATAAAAGAAATTAAGTAGAGTGACAATAAGCGAATCGAGGCCTATTATATCTAGTTCGATTGTGACGGGAACAAACCTATCAGTGAACAGCACAATGTGATCATTTTCTTTGGTTTTCATCAATTCATCGACCTTCGCCTTGAGGAGGTTGACCTTCTGCCCACCGCCTTCGAAGTTCATATCTCCACCCTCCCATTTCTCTCCTTGCCCCAAAACTTGTACGTCAATGTCGTACACCTTAGCTGAGCGCATGAATCTTTTGAAGCCATCGGTCTCCTCCGTAGCCACTGTCAGCACTGTTACGTCGTCTGCAACAAAGAAACGAACATTTAACTTAATGTCTTTGTTAATAATAAAAGCGCTGCGCGTTCAATTTTAAAGTAATCCAAGATCATCGACAATACACTAACTTGTATCTTTATCGAGTTTACGAAAGTAACAAGAAGTCGACTGAATCAAAGTCGTCATACCATAGTCAAATCAGATCCGAAAATCAAAAGCAACATTTCGTTTACGTAAATTAAAAAATAAGAATATTTAAAAAAACATCCCGTGAAAGTTACCATCGCAAAAGGATCGATCAACACCAACAACGATGAGCAGGATACGAGAGGGTGTCTGGGGAGGGAGGGTAACATGTCGAATGATACCTGTGTACGGTTGCGCAGACTGGCCCCCGCACAACGCCCTGTGCTACCATAATCGATCGATGGACCTAGCTCTGTCTGGGGTTCGACATAAGGCTCCATTAGTACCGACGGTTTTATAACGCGCGTTTAAAACTATTGAAATAGAATTAATTCATTTCCACGTATCTATTCATATGACAGCGATGTAAAGACGACCCTTTTTAATCCCGCAGTGTCGAATATTATGCTCTCAGCGTACGAAACAAGAGGGATTTCAAAACGTTCGTACGAGTTTAAGCGTTAAAAAAACGCCCGCTGAGAGTTACAAAATCGCCCGCCCGAATGAGGACTAAAACGAGGGCCCCGTTTTAATCGATTTGCCCAGCCTCCCACAGAGCCCGGGACGCAGCTCGAATGTTCCAGACATTGGTTGCCAGTAATAAATGCCATATACCTACTAACGTGATTTTACAAATACTTTTGAACGAGAGAAATTAATTGCATTTTGGCCCCCTACATTTTTAAGAATACTCAAAGAGTATATCGCAGTATATACAATTTGTTGGCACTCTGGTTAAATAGGTACTCTACAAATGTTAGTCAAGTTTGTTGTTTTTAATTTACTAGACAATATGATGTCATCTTTATTGCATGCAAATTTAAATGTGTGCGTGTGTACGGATAAAAATGAACATGTGTAGACATAGCGTTTCCGTTGCAACCATAAACACAAACGTTAATATCGTTAAACTAAAACTGTGCCTTACGCATAATAATGAATGATGTGCAATTTTGTACCACACTACATTGTTATACAAGCTATTTTCAAATGTAACCATATGTCAGGCAAAAGCACGTAGCTCGCATTCTTAAAATTATGCCGGGAATAGAAGTCAACCCTTTGCTTATTCCTTGTTTATGAACTTCTAACAATAGAAACTGCAACCGGAGTGATTGAACTTTGTTACTATACCAAACGCTGAATATTTCTCAATAAAAATATTAAAAAATAATAACTGGAAAGAATTTATACTAGAGCATATATAAATGGAAAGTATAAAAAAGAAGTATGGAAATAATTGTCAATTGAATTTATGTTGTATATCAGAGGTTCCCAAACCTTCTTGATTTAAAATGAAAATTTTATTAAAATGTTAAACTTAATTTAACATTCATTAGTGGTTTAAGTACACACAAGAACACCTAATAGTTGGCCTTTAGTGTTCAAAACCTGGTAATATAAATTTTCGTGGGCCCCCCAATTTTCTTTTTTAGCCATCGTGAACCCCCAGGGGTCTATAGGAGCCCACTTTGGAAATCACTGGTCGATATAGTTCCCATTATTGTAGTACACATTGGCTAACAAAGATCAACTTTTGTTTATATGGTGGTATTACCAAAAACTTTCTTTCCATGCCCAAATGTATTTGAATATGAATGTATCAGTCTCATATCACGAAAATGTTCAAATTGTTATGAAAAATTAAATATAGTTACAAAATATAAAACACAAGAGCTTTGAGCACATTGCAATGGCACATTAGTAGATAGAATTCGCAAAAATAACATTTTAATTCAGACCATCGCTTTAAGTTTAACGCCAGCTTAAAATTATAAAGAAATAAATTATTCAGACATCTGTTGTAAAACCAAAAGTAAGTAGCCTATGTGTTCTTCCAGACTGTCCTCTACATCTATACCAAATTTCATCTAAATCCGTTCAGATGTTTTGGCTACAAACTCTAACAAACATCCATCCATCTTTACTTTCGCATTATATTCAGTATATTCCACTTTTGTGTGTTTAACTGATGTTTTAAGATGTCTGTTAACTGACAAAAAGGTTGTTTTCAATTCGATTGGCAAATCATTAATATATTTCAAATCAATTTTAAGTTTTAAGATATACTTTACAATAAAGTCAACTATGTAAATCGCAAAGCAATATTCTAAAACGAGCATGGTGAAGTCATTTATTATGTAACTTATTGTCAAAAGAGGGAAAATTGTAATTGAAACCGATAGTTGTGAAAACAATGTTATATGAAGACCATATACAAGTGTGTGAACAAAACTTCAATTACATTCCCCAATAACAAGTAAAGTTTTATAGTTCGATCTCATTTACACATGATTTTCAAGCAATTTCTTCTATTTAATATTAATATTTGTGTTAATCAATTATTTCTTCACATTATATTTAGATAAACTTTACAATCTTGTTTGTTTTTTTTCATTGTGTTGCATTCCTACTCCAGCATGCTTATCCATTCATTTTTATTTAATTAATTCTTATTTCAATAGTATTTTGTTTACTAAGTCCCTTTAGATGTGTCTTCAGTTACAAATATAAGTATGTTAAGTATATTAAGTATTCAATTCTTGTTATATATCCAGTTTTAAAATAAAAATCAATACTGCAGATCAAACCTTTTTCAATTTAATTAAAAAACCTTCAGTCTTTCTTATAATGTCTGTGTGGTGGCCCACTTTGTGCATCGATCCAACCCTCTCCCCCTGCACCGAGT